TTTCCCTTCCCTCCTCCGATGGTGAACCACCCAGGTTGTCTCACCAGCGTACATGCTAGTCCTGTTGGGAAGAAAATGGCTGTAGGGCTCCAGGAATCTGACTTTTCTCCTCTGCACAAGGAACGTGTGGTCATGTATGACCGAGGTGAAGAAATGGCTTGTCCTCAACGTTCTCACAACTAGGAGGAGCTGCCCAGCTTAGCTGCTTTTTGAGAAACACATAGCTGAGTTAATTCAGACTGCACTGTCTCCTGACTAAATGCCTTACTTGACTGTTGTCAAGCATATTTTGAGTTTTTATGCAGAGGTTTTATCTGGACTGGTCCGACTGGAGCCTTCAGCCCCCAAGTCAGTGTGTTCTGAGCACATTGTCTTTTCTGCCCCGATTTGGAGCATGGTAATAGTAAGTGTTAGATCTTTGGGAATATTTGAGGGGGATATGTTTCAGCATCTCTTTTGCAGGGTGAGGAGGTCCTGACCACTCTGTAGCACGCAGAAGCCGGGTGCTGCCACAAGCTGCAGGTTTTTGATGGGTGTGAAATGTCTCTCTCTATGAAGGCAGAGAGTAACGCTTCAGCGGAGCCTGAGTCAAGGAGATCTCTAGTTCAGGATTGTGACAGTGCTTGTCAGGAGATAGCACAGTCATCTGGGTTTTCATTGTCAAAATGTAGTCATTTCAGCTTGAACAGATGCTTCGTCAGCTCTGGTGCCTCGGAGCTTTTGCTTTGACAATCACACACTTCCGAAGCACGTGAAACTTCTTGCTGTTGTTTTCATACTCAATGAGTAAGTAATGAACAGCGTGCTGGCGCACACCTTTAGTGAGGGTTTTGATAGAGTTTTCACATGGTTGAAAATGAGAGAGAAAGCAGAGGAACGTTGTCTGGTGAGCGGGCGGCGATCGTCACTCGCTGTCAGCTTTGGCTTTGCGTCAGAGAAGTTCCCACGTGACGCTCCTTGTCTTAGAGCAGGGTGAACTGCTGCCCAGCAGGACTCGTTGTGACCAGAGAGCGCTCTTCACCGTTGTGTAAAGTCAGAGTATGATTTACAGTGTGGTGGAACTGACCTACTTGCAGGTCTGCCCTTGGGTTGAGCAAGAACCGGTGTCAGTAGTAGGGATAGCAGAGGGTAGGTGGCACAGCCATGGGTGCATACCAGGGGTAGCAGCACCTTTCTTGGTTGGAGCCCACGTAGAATTTTACAACACGAGTCAGCTGATACATAGTTCTGATGGGTGAAAGCCAACCGTATCCTGGGCTACATCCAAAGCAGCGTGGGCAGCAGGTTGAGGAAGGGGATTCTGCCCCTCTGCTCTGCTCTCCTGAGACTCCACCTGCAGTGCTGCATTCAGCTCTGGGCTCCCCAACACAAGAAGGACATGGAGCTGTTGGAGCAGGTCCAGAGGAGGCCACGAAGATGATCCGAGGGCTGGAGCACCGCTGCTATGTAGACAGGCTGAGAGAGTTGGGGCTGTTCAGCCTGGAGAAGAGAAGGCTCCAGGGTGATCTTATAGCAGCCTTCCAGTACTTAAAGAACCTACAGGAAAGCTGGAGAGGGACTTTTGACAAGGGCATGTAGTGATAGGACAAGGGGCAACGGCTTTAAACTGAAAGAGGGGAGATTTAGATTAGATCTAAGGAAGAAATTTTTTACATTGAGGGTGGTGAGGCACTGGCACAGGTTGCCCGGAGAAGTTGTGGCTGCCCCATCCCTGGAAGTGTTCCAGGCCAGGTTGGATGAGGCTTTGGGCAACTTGGTGTAGTGGAGGGTGTCCCTGCCCATGGCAGGGGGTTGGAACTAGATGATCTTTGAGGTCCCTCCCAACCCAACTTATTCTATGAAATTTGGAGTTATTTTTATTGTGGTTTTGCAGCTGCTTTCAGATGTGATTTACAAGTTTTTTTGAGTAGTTTAGTGACTGTATCTTGTGTTTAATAATAATTTGGTGACTGGGAGACTTCACTGTTTAGAATGAGTCCGTTCCGCAGGGCTTTGCTCCCGTGCACATGGAAGGGCAGCAGTACCTCGTGTACTAATTTGGACAGTCATGATTCAGCACTGGCACTTCAGAATAGTCACAGCCACATCTCCAGTCGAGATGATGGCTTTCACCTCCTCCTGATGGGTATTTCCACTAGAATAGCCTCACTGATTGGACATCCCACTGTGTGTCCTCAATTGATAAGCAGCTCTTCTCTGTTCATGAGAGTTGTCCTAAGCACGTCTGAGTTGTTGAAGAGGAGAGGAAATTCCTTCTCCACCGTTATTATCGGAGCTCCCACTGATTCAATCGATTTATCCTCTACTGCCACTTTTTTTTAATGTTTTTTTTTCCCCCCATATTGGTGTCATTTACTTTATTTGCTCTGAGTAAGTTGAAATTGGCTGTACTTAGAATATTGTAGAATATTTATCAAGCAGCTTGAAGCCTAAGATATTTTCTAAGGAATAATAGTTGCACAGCGTGGAGCAAATACCAGTTGCATTTGTTATCTGCAGAACAGTTGCAGGACTTGGGGCCCCAAGAGAGTTCGGCAGCGATGTGCCAAGTGCTGGAAAGACACGTAATAAGAAATCACATCTGCTCGAGGGAATTCATGTTCTAAGTAGGCAAGTCAGAAATAGGAAAACGGGAGATTTGGCACGGCAAAGGCAAGGATACCTTCCCAGTTTGGAGCTGTGCTGCCTAATTGAAGAGGTTTAGAGAAGGTGGTGGCGATCAGGACCTCAGCGATACGGCCTTCCATGGAGATTTGCCAGTGCTTCCCAACCTACTCCAGTTTTATTTTTTATTTTTGTGTGAGGCTTTCTGACTTGCTGTCCTGAAGAGATCAGGTATAATTGTTACTTAGTAAGCTCCTATTAATACAGAAGTTTAAAGTTTCTTGTATCCACTAATCCTGGCAATCTCTTTATTTTGTTTGTGACAGATATGCCAAGAATTCAACAGCACTTGGGCTTGGGAGATGGAAAAAAAAGGATATCTAGAAATGAGTGTTGAATGCAAACTGGGGATTCTGAAGGTACACATTCATCAACTACATTTCTAAATTACTTTTTCCGTATTCACCAAAGTGTCTTGGAGATTTTGCTTCCTGACTCACTTAAACATCCTGCAAATTTAGCCTGACTGAACCGTAAGTAGATGCATTTCATGAGGAGCTGATCTCCTAACAGGAATGATGCTCATGGTAGTGGCCTGGGCCCAAATGGAATGTAACAGTGTATTTTTCAGACTTGGTATGAAACTTTGTTTGAATATTGTTTTATATTTGCTGTTTTGTCAGTAGCTGTATGCCTGTGCACTTTTACAAATGTTTATTAGCTTGCAATTAGATAAGCTCATCTGAATTTCAAGGGCAAAGATGGGACTTCATCTTTCCAAGTCTGGAGAAAACTATCAGGGCAGGTTCCAAGTTATGTATGTTATTGTAGAATGAGATAATTTGTACTATGTGGGGGAGGAAAAAAACACTAAGCTGACCAGGAGAAAAAAATTAAAATATATTTGTCTCTTATTTAAAACCAACATGGCCTAGAAAATAAAACAGTAGCTATAGCTAACTCACAGGTCCAATAGGGAGAGACCTGGAAAGAAGTTCCAAACTAAACTGAAAGGAAACGAACCATTTTTCTTATTTCTGCTTATATTTTGATACTTGAAGTCGTCGTCTTTCTCACTTTTCCAGTATCTCTGTGAATGTCAGTTTGACGACAATCTGAAGTTTAAGAATATCATTAACGAGGAGGATGCCGATGCCATGCGCCTTCAGCCCATCGGTCGGGACAAGGATGGCCTGATGTATTGGTATCAGCTGGATCAAGAGCATAATGTCAGGATGTACATAGAAGAACAGGATGACCAGGATGGATCCACGTGGAAGTGCATTGTTAGGTATTCTTTTTTTTCTTTGTTTTTTTTTTCCTTTTTCTGTGTTTTTTTTTTTCCCTTATTTTATAGAGGTTTTTAGCTATTTGTGACTGGGGTTCAGAAATTTATTTCAATAAATCTCCTTTTCTCACAGAGTGGGATTCATGACAGTGGGATTTTCTGCCTTCACATGTCTGTTTTAGTGAAAAGCCATGTACAGAAGTGACTCACCATTTGTTGGTAATGGCCAACGTGTCTTTTGTTTTCTGCTTAATCAAGCTACAATGGATACATGTGGAAAGAGTAGCAAGAGGAGACTCACTTGAGGAGAAAGTCTATGGAGACAGGGTGAGAGTTGGGGCTCTTCAGCCTGGAGAAGAGAAGACTCTGGAGAGATCTTATTGCAGCCTTCCAGTACTTAAAGGGGGCCTACAGGAAAGCTGGAGAGGGACTTTTGACAAGGGCGTGTAGTGATAGGACAAGGGGCAATGGCTTTAAACTGAAAGAGGGGAGATTTAGATTAGATATAAGGAAGAAGTTCTTCACTCTGAGGGTGGTGAGGCACTGGAACAGGTTGCCCAGGGAAGTTGTGGCTGCCCCATCCCTGGAAGTGTTCAAGGCCAGGTTGGATGAGGCTTTGGTCAACCTGGTGTAGTGGAGGGTGTCCCTGCCCATGGCAGGGGGGTTGGAACTGGATGATCTTTGAGGTCCCTTCCAACTCAAACCATTCTATGATTCTATAAAGGCTTCATATTGCTCACTGGCCACCTAAATGCCTTAGGAAATGGAGGAGGGCTCTTGCTTCTTTAACTCCTGCCCTATTCAGACAATTACAAGGGGACAGTTTTGTTCTTGGGGGAATTACGTTGCAATTCTGACTTCATGGAACTACAGAACTGTTGGCAATACACAGAGGCGTGAGAAATCTTCTGGAGTAGAGTTCAGCTCGTAGGTCACTGAAGATGAGGAGCTGACGTTGATGCAGGCTGACGTGTGTGCACGACTTAGTGCCTCTGGGTCTCAGTTGCTGCAGATCACACTGGTAATATTTTAATGATATTTTAGCATCAAATCTGGGGTTTTTTGTGTGATTCTTTTTACATAACTTATTTTTCACTTTCCCGCTCTGTGCAAGGTATACGGGCTACTTCTTACTGCAGGAACAATTTGAAATTTGTTTCATATCTATCAGTTACCCATTTTTAGCTTAATCATGTAAGCTTTTGTAGTTGATTAGTTCCAAGTGGACTCAGCAGAATCAACTGACTTTAAAAGGACATAGAAATGTAAAAATAGATCTAAAAAAAGTCAAATAATATCTTTTATTTTCTGTTTCTAAATTTTTTATTATATCTGAAGGTTATTTACATATCCATAACTTTAATAACCAAGGAGTCATACGGATTGGTTTAAACCACTATCAACGAGCCATAAAACGATAAGCGTCACCACCAGTGAAATGCAGACAGCTCTTGTGGGTGAATAAAGTAAATCTATGTCAACAAACCAGCCAAGAGTGGAGCGCTGTTTCTCTCTCTCTCCATGGATTATCGACTCCAGAGATCAATGCCAAAGTGGGAGAAATCAGGGTTCTGCTGGGAAAGTTCTGACACTCCACACTCGCAGCAGGAAAACACAGTAATGCCTTGTAAAATCTGAAATGGTTTTAAACCCGGGAGATTCCACATCTCAGGGCTGTTGCACTTCCAAGCTGCTTTTTTTTTTCCCCCGTACGCTTGGGCAAAACAAATTGCTGAATGTTTACTTGGAAAGAGGATATGCAAGAGCCTTATTATTTCAGTTTCTTGTGGAAACAATGACTCTGCTTCATTGTATCTCAAATTCACTCTACATTAAGATGGTGTTTTTTCTAGTTCAGTTTCAATAAGGAGCTACAGTGCCCTGAGATTTGCACGCGTAGAGAGGCACAAACGTTTTCCCACTGTCAGGTAGTTTCTCGCCTAACTCCAGTTGGAGTTGTCTGGACATGTCTGTATTGTTTACTCTCTGTGTTTAGGATGGGTACTTGTAAAAAGCATCTAAATTCCTTATTTGCTTTTGAAAATTTCACTTGAGTGATGTGGTTGCTCCTTTGGTGTAGAAAACTACAACTTCCTCTCTGCTGAGAGAAGAAAATTGCAAAAGGAAAACCAGTGAGGATTGGTAAGAGGATGATTAAAAGAATCATAGTAGCAGCTTGGATCCAGACCCAACAGGACTTGAGATAGAGAAGGTCCTTCCAAAAACGTGATTTTATTTTGGTACGGATAAATTGGAAGGCTTCTGACTGGGAAGTTGCAGCCGCTCTGGTGGGACAGACATTTTGCTGTGCTTGTATGTTCGTTTAAGCAGATGGTGCTTGTTTATTTTTTATCAATCTCCTTGGGGTAAATAAGTGGCTTATGAGACACGATGTTTTTTCTTCTGTCATCTAGAAACCGCAATGAGCTTGCCGAGACCCTTGAGCTTTTGAAAGCACAAATTGATCCTGCCCTGTTGAAAACCAACAACTCTCAGCAGGAGAATTCGTCACGTGAAAGCCCAAGCATAGAAGATGAAGACACCAAAAAGGGTAAAGAAGCATCTACAAAAGGTTTTCTACCTTCTTTTCTCACATTTTAAATGTTGTGCTGTGGCAGTGTTAGAGTTTTCAACTTCATGAAAACTTACTGTTTTAGATTAAGACTTAAAAAAACCCAACAACAAACCCCACAAAAATGTTTCTGTTCAGAGTAAATCAAGTAAATATTGAATACTTTGAAATTATAAATATTATTGGAGGGTTTTTAGTGTATATTTAGAGTTTATTTGTGAGAAGGGAGCTGTGTATAAATTGTTTTCTAAGGCATTTTATTTTTGCTGTACATCTTGTATAATACTGTAAATACTCATTGTTGTATGTTTTTTGAGGAGCGTTGAACTGTTGCCAAACTTCTTCTGTCCTAGCAACATTAAAATTTTAAAAAGTAAAAAAAAAATTCTTTGTGCAATGCCATAATTGAAATCAATATAGTATTGGGTGCGTTGTTTATTTTTCCTTTTGAGTTTGAATCAAAAAAAATACAGGTTGCTTCCTCAAACGTGTCGTCATGTACATGATTTTTCAAAAAGACATGACCTTAAGTTAGAACAATCTAAAATACTAAAATATTTTAGAAGTGAAGTGGTCCTTAGCTGCCTCCACTGTTGTTGTTAATGAAGAACCTTTTTTCCTTCCTTGTTACCATGTCACTGCACGTATTTAGCAACTTACCTCACTTGTGCTGCGCACTGGCTTTACGAAGTGTCAGTATCAGGTAGCCTGAAGGAGTTTGTGTTGTAAGAATCTGGTCTGGTTCAGGTTATGAAAAGCTGAAAGTTTGTTATCCCAAGTCATTTTATTCCAGTTACTACCTGGCATTATCATTTTTTTAGAATATAGGAAAAGATTTTCACAATCAAAAACAAGATTTAAGGTTTCCATTGTGTTAGTGTGCATTTCTTCAAATCTGTTTAAGTTAATTGGACAAGCACACGTACAGGCTGGGCGGAGAATGGATTGAGAGCAGCCCTGAGGAGAAGGACTTGGGAGTGCTGGTGGATGAGAAGCTCAACATGAGCCGGCAATGTGCGCTGGCAGCCCAGAAAGCCAACCGTGTCCTGGGCTGTATCCAGAGCAGCGTGGGCAGCAGGTCGAGGAAGGGGATTCTGCCCCTCTGCTCTGCTCTCGTGAGACCCCACCTGGAATACTGCGTTCAGCTCTCGAGTCCCCAACACGAGAATGACGTAGAACTGCTGGAGCGGGTCCAGAGGAGGCCACGAAGATGATCCGAGGGCTGGAGCACCTCTGCTCTGGAGACAGGCTGGGAGAGTTGGGGCTGTTCAGCCTGGAGAAGAGAAGGCTCCGGGGTGATCTTATAGCAGCCTTCCAGTACCTAAAGGGGGCCTACAGGAAAGCTGGAGAGGGACTTTTGACAAGGGCATGTAGTGGCAGGACAAGGAGCAATGGGTTTAAACTGAAAGAGGGCAGATTTCGATTAGATATAAGGAAGAAATTTTTCACTCTGAGGGTGGTGAGGCACTGGCACAGGTTGCCCAGAGAAGTTGTG